ATATATTACGATAGAGGTGCTCCATGCCCTGTTAGCTATACACAACAGCACACAGCTGGTCACACTTGCACGTCATATCACTCTGACTATGCTTCTCGTTTGACTGGCACTGGTTATTTGAGTCAGCCGAAAATCTTAACTACAATTATCTCCACGAACCCCTAAATGTTCAACCAGCTTCTTCCAGTCGGGGTCTTCAATCTTTGCCGAAGCCTCCCGAGCCTTCTTTTTAGCAGCTTCAGCGGCAGTCACCTACTTCAGTACTTGAGGCCAGCTAAGAGTTACACTACCCATTAAGAATTTTCACAGGGCAAGCAGGCAACTACAGTATCATGAAAAACGCCCTATGCGGCTTATTTCCGCCAGAGACGAAACCGAAAGTTAGCAAAGCAACTTCTTAATCTGCGGCTTACCGGTACTAAGTTTACTTATGTGCACACCTACCGTACATCGCTGGAGTTTCCGCAGATTTAGAGCCCTCAAATAAGAAAAAAAGCCAAGAATGTGAGAAACCTGCCCTGTAACAAATTGCGTGTTGGATTTCACAAGTTTTTATACCCACTTCACTGCATACTGTGTACAGCGTAGCTGAGCCACCAACGTTGACCCGAATGCGTCGTTCGCCATATTTTGCGATTGTCGGAGGCATGCCAATAAGTTGAGCTGCTTCGATCAGAGTTGTAAAGTTGCATGTCGTCTAATAGATCCATGGTTCACGCAAGTTGAATGGGTTCATGGTCAAGTACGAAGAGAAATTTGTTCCGGTGGCTAGCTGCCGCTATAATCTATCATTTATCGGAAGCTTGGAACGGTAAACATGAAGCCATGCTAAAAAATATATACTCGGTACCAGGTTATAATATGTGTTCGTGTACCCAAAAGTAGCCAACTGAGCTTTGTGAATACGAACTTAGTACACAACCGAAGTTTTGTACGAATATCAGTAATAATACAGCGTCTAGATCGTCTTACGACTTACGCTGGGAATTCATGCACCGCTTTTTTCTCAGTAGATTTGTGCGCTATGCCCAAATTCCAAATCGCTTAATGTAAGAAGAAAACAAAACGTTCCACGAGCGTTTGCTGTTCCTTACAGTTAAAGTCAGATGTTGGTTAAGATGACTAGAGCTAATGTACAGTTAATTGCTTTTTTCGCTAAAAATGTATCTGTAAAATACCACGTGCATGTGACAACCCCTTATAAGCAGATGAAATTATGGGGCTTCTCGCAATGTGATTGGTTCAACTATCTTCTACGTAAAAAGTATTGCATGAGCAAGACCTGTGTAGGTCTGTAGCTCCGTGCTAGCTGATATTATAATTTAGAGCTTGTTGCTGCATGTCAAAAAAAAGTTTTACAATCGTTCTGCAAGAAGTGTGGCTCTGTTTTGGACCTTTTTTCATAATTAAAGTACTTGAGGCATGCTGTTTTCCATTTGTGAGGCGCTGCCTAATAAAATGTTTTTGTAGAGCCGGAACAATCGAATTTTATACGAAGATGTTTTACTGAGCACTTGCGACTGAATCTATTTCTTGTAGCTTTCTCTTCGTGAAAAAAAGCGCGTTCCCACCATAGTGTGGCATCAGTTTCTAAGATAGCTGTCGAGGCATTACTAGGCTACATCAATCGCTACTGTACCAATGATGTCACCGATATATACTGCCCAAAGATGGCGTAATGAAATGCAAGTCAGAACTATCAGATAATCTGAGCGCTCCGGCCGCCATCTTCCTGAATTTTGATAGATTATTTTTTCATGTGCACCCTGACAAAATCTGGTACTGGGCCGCCACCACATCTCCCTTTTGTTATCAATACAATAAATCACATTAAAAATGATTACTTGCTTAGACTAAATCTGATTTAAAATAAATTGTATTCTAAATCAGATTTAGTCTAAATGTCTCGCATTAAGTTACTGTGGCGAAAGGAACTTGTAGTTGTCAAGTCCGGTTAAATTTAGGCTACAGGGTTGGTGAATCAACAAGCGTTGGTCATTGGTCAAAATATTGAACGTACCTATTTAATCTTGGTCGTATAATCGCAGAAACTATTCTATCTAACAGGTTCGCTCAGCGCCTGACCAAATTTGGAGTACAGACCACAATAGCAGTTGCGACACGCAACTTGCGTGCTCTTGTTTATAAGCACACTGGGCTTGGATACTGTGCTACAGCTCCTACATACTCATTTTCAGCTGCAAAGTGTACTGCCACCCTGTACTGTACTGAGATACCGTGTGTACCGGTACCGAAATGTGTTACACATGTACTGCATTTTTCAGTACGATGTTGTACGAATGTTAGCCCAGGTTGCAAGCAACCGTAGGAGGCTGTCCATTCTTCATACTTCGGTATTCTCAGTAAAATAAGTGCTTTTTACTTAGATTAGGTAGCTCGTTCCACGTCACGATTACGGTGCAGCCGGTCGCAAACAAAACAAAAAAAATAAGTAGAACAGATGAGCTGTGATGTGTTTCAATCAAAAGCCATTTCTTCTAAGGCTGTGTACGTACCATTGCGTGTCCTTGATGATGTGGAGCACCGATTGATCGCAGCTCTTTTTTCATGCTGATTTTCTGGACTTCGTACTTACATTCTGCAATAGGCCACAGGCTAAAAAGTGAATTTTTCGTCAGTTATGTGCATGTACCTTATATAGCAGTATTTGCTCACGATACAACGCTATCTGGCGCAAACAATACAATTTCAAATTTAAAACGCCTTAATAATTCTAAGCTGCGATATTTTCGCATATAGCTCAATCACTTTTAATATAACTAGGCTGCAGCTGTAATATTCAAGTATACATAACAGCGTGGTATCATTGGCAAAAATATGTATCTGAAGCTAGTGCGACATCGTATTATCTATAATATATCTGGGTTTTCGCGAAATACTGGGCCATTTAATTTGGAAAAGTCAAAGCACAGAGAGGAAGCTCAGATTCACTTGTCAATTACCAAGATGCCCAGTACAGCCAGCCAAGTGTTCGACCGCCTCAACCGACAGTGGGAGGACGAGACCTCCAACCTCATTGGCAAGTTGGAAAGTGAGGAAGATGAAGTGTCTCGCTGCTGTATTTGCACTTGTAGAGTACCTGATATTGTACTGGCGAGATGAAATGCAACACCAAACATTGCCCTTTCACAACTTCTCACTCAATTACCCAATTTATATAAGCTTTTTTTTGTTGGAAAGATAATGATTTCTTCTCTTAAGTAGTCATAATCATCCTTGAATATCTGCTCAAATTCACATGCTACACTTAATCGAAAAGTGCGTGTCTTTCGTTCCGCCCAAAAAATCGAGGCTATGTTCTTGACATACGGCATCAGGTGTTTTGGTCCTTACAAACTTTAGTATTACAATCAACAATGCCCTTTTTACTCATTTCTATGCACATTTGATCCTAGGAAGTGGGGCTGTCGGCGATGCGTTTAACACTGCATGCAGCAATCCCTACGCTGCTCCTGTAGCTAAAACCAACTTCTGCAGATGCGTTGCATTCCAAGCTGCATCCTGGCGTAAAGCTTGTCACTTTAGGCTTCTTTGTTTATTAAATATCGCAAGAAATGTTCTGTGCATGCATGATCAGCATCAATTTCCCGCAGACGTTTGAGCTTCCACCATTTTAATAAAAGACAAGAAAGTCAAACAACGTGTGTTTGTCTGTGATCTCTGTGCTACCCTGTTTCCATTGCGGGTCTGCCGGCATTAATCCGATAATTAATTTTGTATTTATGAGCAAAACAAAAAAATGGTGGTGCATTTCATCTCGCCAGTACAATAGTGTACCGGTATTGATAACAAAGAGTAATTCATAACTAAGTTATAGGCAGACCCAGGTGTCGTTGAAATAGACCGACTCTTGGGTAGAAGCCTCCATAATTTAATTTTTGGGTCACAAATGTAGCCAACTGTATTTCATAGGATCGTACTTATACCAGAAGTAGCATGAGATGCGAAAATACTAAAAACAGCAGGGTAAATGCAAAAAAACAAGCATGTGCTTTTCCAAGAATCATGTTTTCCGGAATAAGGCATGGAATTCGCATAAAATTAGATTTTATGCGAAATCAAGCACCATACGCTAAGACACACTTTTTGAGACTGTTATCTAATGATTGCTAAGGTGCTGAAGTCTCAATAGTATTTGCAACCGCTGACATGAGCATCTGACTCGCTTTCCTCGCGACAGTCATCGGACTACTCATTGCCTGTGACGAAACAGCTGCGGCACCTTCGACTCTCACAGATGTGCCTTTGACCATTAGCAAGTCGCCTTTTAAGAATCCGAAGAGATTCCTGAGAGGGAAGAGCACAAGGATTTATGGGGTTACCGACGAAGAGAGATGTTTGAAAGAGACCCTTGAAGCTGCTCAAGCTGGACGCTTTATTGAATTGGCCTTCCCGCGGATTAGAGGCTTTTTGGAGCTTTTCATAAGCATTGTCAAAACGCTCCCATACCTTCCAGTTCTTGTCATAGACGTAAGGATATGTCATTTTCAAGATCTTGGGCACCTCAGCTGAATTTTTGCCGGTGGCAAGCCAGCGTGGAATCATGGGCTTTAAGAAGGCCACTTACGCTTCGCAAATTCAGAGCGCTGAATATGAGTGTCTTGTGATTCTTTGTGCCTTTGTTTGCTAATACTCTAGAAGAAATGTTAGACATTCATAAGAAATCATTGACGTTTTGTACCTGTGTAGTTTTTTTATATTTAAAGATGTAGAGATTGCATACGACACCATCTTATGGAAGCTTCCATTATTTACGCTGGATTATTGTCTTATTGCACAGCTTTCTAATGAGAATATATCACGTTCAATTTTTCCAGATATAGTTCTGTCGATTTAAAAAGTTTTGTTTTAACAATGGTCGTTTAAAGAAAACCTCTATCTGTGTTATAAACTAACAATAGGCGGTTTTTTTTCTTCTTCTTGACTCCGTTCTAGGTTTCCAGATACGTAGAAACGCAGCAAGGTGATAGAGCCCCTGCCTAACGTGGTTCGATCAGGGGGCGGCGATCACCAAACACCTTCCCCGTATTCTTTCGCATTCCCAAGTAAATTTCGTACGCTTGTTTGAGAGATAATGGCACATGGTCTGATACATCTTCCACGGATTTTCCATAGTTTTTCCAACGCTGGAACACCTTATCGCGGTAAGATATATCGTGCCCCATATTTTGCAGCTTCGGCCCATAGAGCAAATTAGCCCCACCCTTCCTCTCTTCGCCGACGTGCTCGTTACTTTCGCCTTCGTCATCCGTCGTCTGGTGACTTCGAAGAAATCTCTTGTCCTCGGCAGCAAGAACATTCGAGGGGCGAACAACGTCCACGTCCAACACACTGGCCCGATCGGCATTTGACACTGCTGTGCCACTTGCAAGGCGAACGGTCGCAAGAACAACAAGGGTCATGTTGAAGGGACGCATGGCTGGAAGGGTCTTGAGGCCGGAGGACCATTGCGGAATGAGAAATGCGGCAGTTGTAGGTCGGCGATATGGGATTTAAGCGATATCCACTTCTACTACTAGTAGTAGATGGTGAGTGTAGGATTGCAGTATTGTGACCAGGAGGTTTTCGTCAAGACCAACCAACGCTGTGGTTGGTCGTGGTTTTCCAGGATCGAGTTGTCTCACTTTAAAAAAGTGTTTTTTTTTTACTTAGATTAGGTAGCTCGTTCGACGTCACGACTACGGTGCAGCCGGTCGCAAAAAATAAAAAAAAGGTAGAACAGATGAGCTGTGATGTGTTTCAATCAAAAGCCATTTCTTTTAACCCCTTGGACGCGGAGGGTTGTAATATGGTCTTATGCTGTTCAGAACAGCATAATAATTACTTAGATTCACTATGCCACGAAATCCGCAAAAGCGTATCCACGCTTCCCATAAATTGATCGACTGTTATTGGTCCACGTGTACAAATCCAACAATTAAATTGATTCATAAAACAGGTGGCTTGATGTAACGCGTGTAGAGAGCAGACTCTCATATTTTGGAAAATATAAATTTTGGTTCCCTTTGCCGCTTTCGCGCCAAGCCACTCATTCTTCGTTTTTGCCAAGTCAAGCGCAAGAATGACTTACTTTATGGATTTCAAGTCAGTATGGCCACTTCTACGAAAGGAGGGTTGGACGTGGAAGCCTGCAGCCGGCATCCAGATCCAGTACGTTACCTTTTTGTCTACTTTGTTGCACCACAGTAATGTACTAACTTGCATAAATGCGTGTAGTCACAACTACCTGAAACCAGGAAGCAAAGTTAGGGGAGGTAAACGCGGCACGGACTATTTCAACGGCGAGGATGAACTACTGGCGTATGTGCGTCGCGATACAGAGCTGTGCGCGCGGCTTAATATCGCGAGCGTATGGGTGCGCCCGCCTTCTCAAGCGAGTAAGTAGTATCTTGCTGTTGCTATGTGTTTACAAAAGTGACTTACTGTTTGTATTGAAATTTAGTCCAAAGCACTATGGACGCGGTGCTGCTGCGTCAGACTCTCCCACTCCAGTGCCTGATCAGCCCGAAATCGAGGCTGCAAATGCACCAAAGAGAGATGCTCCTGCGTCAGGTAAAGCGTCGCCGAAGAAGCGCGTGAAACAGACATCTACAGAGCAGAAGACTGCAAAGCCTTCTACAACGAAGACGAAGAAGATGACGAAGAAGCAGCTTGACAAAGAAGCAGCAGATCGCCGTCGAGAGCTCTCGTCGTTCGGTAGAGTGTGGGGAGGCGAAAACGCCCAAGTAACCGCTTCGTTTCAGTGCTGGTGCCTATAAAGATCTAACTGGGTATTTGTAGCAAATGATGGACTTCGTGCAGATCCCCCTCAGACAAATCAAGAACCTGGTTCCATGAGCACTGACAAGAATGGTATAAGAACCCGATAATATGCTGACGTTATGCTAAGCTGACACTGTCGTAATGATTTTTAGATAACGCTGACAACGGAGGACAAGCTAACGCTGACACGACAGGTATAGTCGACTGTTTTTATGCTGACTTGTTCATACGCTGACGTGGTGTGTATACAGAAAACGTTAATGCTGACTTGGTAGCATCTGCTAATACTGACCCTTCAGGTATAGCATTGCTGATTTTTCAATATGCTGACGAATATGTTTGCTAATTCCAAGTGTGGGTTATTGTAGCTATTGATGATGCCAATAAATCTCTAGTCGGACATATGGATGGTGATGTGGATTCAGTCATCGCCGGTAGCAGCGATGGCGAAAACAGTGAGTATTTTTTCGATGAGCGTGATGGGGATGATTTTGAGTATGAAGGTGATACTCGCGACACGACCCGAGACGACGACGGAGTGACGATTCCGCCTGCAACAGTTAGTTCGTCTCAATTTCGAGGAATTGAATTTGCGGTGATGGAAGCCATCGATCCAAACCTCGTATTGGGAGATGGTGAAGATTTTCTAGATTCGGACGGAGAAGGGAGTGATGATTTGGTGGAGGCCGCTGAAACATTTGTGGATGAAGATTCCAGCGAGAGTGAAGATACAAACGTGTCAGTCGCAGAAGAGGTCAGTCGTATGATCGGCCGTATGAAGCCAGCTGAAATTGATGATATGCGGTCGCGCGTTCAAGGTGTGTATTGCTATTTTGTTGTGGAGCCAAGGAGAGTTTATATAACGGATATTATGCTGACAGGGTCGTCTGAGATTTATGACACCACTCAACTTGCTGCCATGGCACAAGATGGCTGGACGGCTCTACCGGACGATACAACAACACCTGTCACTATTTATGCTGGTGAAGACAACATGTACGACGGGTACTGTGGACCCTCACAAGACGTCATAGCTGCTTCTCAGTCACCTATCGACCTCTTCTACTATTTCCTGCCCAAATCGTTCTGGCGGCATGTTGCAAGCAAATCTAACCGGTATTGGAAGCAAACGCTTGAAGCACGCCTCGAGTAAATGGTACAGCAAGAAGGGAAGCTGATGCACCGGCTTCAGAAGAGTAGAGAAAAACTGAGAAAGCGCCTAATGAAACTTGATAAGCTTCTGCCGCACGAAGTTGTTCAATGGGCTTGGCCGATGTTGGCCCATGCCTTGAGTCCTCAAAAGTCGTTTGAGATGCACTGGAATATGGCCGAGGATGGTGTAATTCCTGCAGGAACATTTGGAAAAGCTATGTCTCGAGACCGTTTTCGGCTCATTACCAGATTTCTGCATTTTACTGACAACGAAGATCCTGCGGCTTCATGTGATAAATGCTACCCTGACAATGTCAAGTTATGGTCTCTAATTTATGCTGTTCTGTACACCAGATTTCAGAAATACTACAAGAGTCTCTTCCTTGGGCTATTAGACATGGTCATGGTGAACGCGTACATTGTACATTCGCTGTTGTGGGAGAAACAGAGCAAGAAGAAGATGTCGCATTACGTGTTCTTGGCAAGAATGCACAAGCACTTTATCCTCCAAACCCAGACAGCATTTACAGAGACAACCGGATTATCTCGACCTACTACTACAGTTACTGAACAAGTTACTGTACATGGCGGGCATGTACTAGTTCAAACGGCAGATTCGCGAATGAACCAACCGGTGTCCAGAGGCTGAGACAGCGCCAGTGTAAAGTCTGCTCCTGCTACAAGCCGGAAGTAAGCGGCGTGGGGGGGGCATCGACATTCTATTGCCCAAAGTGTTCGGAGGACAAGAAGGGTGTGGTGACGCTTTGCAACAAAGTCCGAGGGCATCCAGCAAACGAAAGGAATGACGTGTGCACAGATATGGCATATCCTGTGGCAGAACGGTGAGTTTTCGCCAAAGGAGAGTCACATTCGGGACCGTAGTCTTGCCAACCCGTAGCTAACCTTGTCAATACACGTACCTTCAATTTCAACCATTTATTGGCACTGTACCTGCACATGCATTCGCCTCTGTTAGCTCTCACTTGGCCATCCAGTTACTGCCACTATGCCGCTATAGTTTGCACCGCTGCTTGGGGTCTAGTTGGGGGAAGGAGGGAGATGTTTGTCTGTGATGCGTGTGCTGTGGTTGTCTCCAAATTTAGAGCTTGCATAGAATGACCAGGAAACAGTTGATTGGAGAATTTTAAATCCGCTGATCACACCATCCCCTTCTGCGGAATAATTACCAAGGAGGTTAGCTACATTCGTTGCTAAGAAAGTGCATTTTTAACCTTAAATTAATTATATATTATATTTTAACGAAGTTATTTTCTTATACCCTCCCGGAGGGTATAAGCACTTTTTCTTAGCCTATCCGTGTCACACCTCCGCGTCCAAGGGGTTAAGGCTATGTACGTACCATTGCGTGTCCTTGATGATGTGGAGCACCGATTGATCGCAGCTCTTTTTCATGCAGATTTTCTGGACTTCGTACTTACATTCTGCAATGATTGCTAAGGTGCGGAAGTCTCAATAGTATTTGCAACCGCTGACATGAGCATCTGGCTCGCTTTCTCGCGACTGGCATCGGACAACGGGCAGCTGCG